GTGTGCACACATCATTTTCCTAGATTTCTCATTTAATGAAGTGCCTAATCTAAAGAATGCATTTATCCATCTTACCTCTTTCAAGAGAGGTGAAAGTGCTCCTTGGCCATTTTCTAGGCTTCTAATTCATCTTCCCCAGCTTGAAAATTGTGGTTAAATCATTGCTTTGACTAGAAGGTATACATTTACATTTTCTTATGGCCATTTTCTAGGCTTCTAATCCATCTTCCCCAACTTGAAAATTTGTGGTTAAACTATTGCTTTGACTAGAAGGTATACATTAACATTTTCTTATATCTCTTTTTTACAAGTGACAAATTCTAACTTGATCTTAATTTTTGATGCTTTAGATTGAGAACACTCCTGATAGATTACCAGATTTTGGTAATCTTAAACTTTTGTCAATTCTAAGTGCTTTCATGCCCTACCTCAACCTCTTATGGATAGCAAACATTCTCAATGCATGTCCAACAATGCATATGTTGGAATTGCATGTAAGATTTTCTTTTTCATTGCAATTTTTGTCATCTTTAACCATTTTTAATAGATTAACACCTTAGAAGTTGCACTTTCTTCAAGAAGAAATAGAAGAAAGTCTAAGAAACTAATAAAAGAATTATCATGTGAAGCTCACAATCCTGCATATGATATTGCAAATATCAAGTAATTGTTGATTTCAACATGTTTAATTGGTATACTGTGATATGTATCAAAGTATTAATGTTGCAAGGGATAAGGCATAAATTTCATTGCATTTTCTAAGAGCATAATTCATATACATGTTTGAAAGTATGCCTAAAGTTGTTATGATTGAAGAATTGATTTCAAACTTAGGATTTTGCATTCTTGACTGCAATGATTTTGTTCAAATGCACTACATACTTCAGCTAAATAATGCTGATTATATTGGCCAAGTTAGAGAAATAAGGCAGTCCTCTAGCTGCCCCAATGATCATCTTAAGGAAGTTCTGATAACTAGCATGCATGGTTATATGAGTGAAAAGACTACTGCTTATCCACTAAATAATTGTTAGGAAAATATGAAATAGCAGAAGAATAAAAGAATTGTTTTGAGGCATGATCTCACTTTCTTTAAAAATTTAAAATCCTTCAGGATACCACAGAATTTAAAACTCTCTCAAAATTAGATGTAAAACTCTGACTTTGCATAAGAATTTACAATGCCTGGAAAGTCACTATTTGAAAGGATGTATCCCTCAAAAAAGACACTATTTCATAGAGGTACCTTTTGACTGCCATAGTCATGTCTAATTTTCAGATATGTCTTTCCAAATTATAATTTAATAAAATAAAATAAAAAATCTAAAAATAATAAAAAATTAGAGATGTTCTAGCAGTCATGCCCCAAGTGCCCATCTTTTGACTATATATAAAGAGTCAAGACCCAATTTCCTTTGGGTTTCACTTTACTTAATTATTTGTTGATAAAGAATAGGCATTTATAAATTCCTTTAAGTTCCCATACTTTCTTGATATGAGATCTCAAACATTTACAAACTATTCAACAATAATGCTATGACACTAGAAAAGATGGTGATTGACCCATGCAGTAGATATTACAGTTGGTGTGGCAAATAAAAGTTTTAGCAGCCTATGCGAGATGAATTGGAACCAGAAGATAGAGGATTTCTAATCATCTTAGAGTTGAAGTTCATCCACAGGTGCAACTGTTGATTCTATGACTATGTATTGGCAATACTATGTTGATGATTTGCTAACTCCTCAAAACTTGGCATGAAAAATCCAAATTTCTAGTGATGTGATGATAAATAGAAGTTTTACAATGAAAATCCAACTCTTGATAATTTTGAGACAATGGTGCAAGCAAAAAAAATAAAATAAAACAAGCGTGTTTCTATTGTAAGTATAGAATGAAAGAAAGGCATTGAAACAAGCCTTTATGATAGGAAACTTCATGCATGAAATGCAAATGTACATAAGGTTACATTCCAAGTTTCATCCTTGTCTTTCTAAACTATGCCAGCTGCCTGCCATTGTTCCCCTAAGCACTTCAGTAGGGTAGTTTTCCCTTGTTAATAGTCATTTAAGAACCCCAGTGAAGTGGTTATGGGAACTCTAGTGCACAGCTGACCATTTCTCTTTCTTGGTGCTCAGGAATACAAAGCAAACCACACCTATTTACGTTAAAATTACAATTTAGTCCTTCAACTTTCAAATTTATATTGAATTTGTCCTTAAATTTAAAAAAATATGAAAAATATCTTTAAACTTTAATTTTTAGTACCAATTTTGTTCTTCCATTAACTAAAGTTGCAGGTGGCATGTTAAATTGCCAAAAAATTGCACTTTTTTTTTTCGAAAAATAATGAAGTGGAAGAAAAAACAACTAAATAATCACTGTTAATATGCAGAACCTAGCATTCAAAATCTAATATTTATTTTGAAAGAAATAATGAAACACCATACTACAAATTTGTAACAAATCCAGGCAGCAACAATCTTTAACAAAGCTCTCACAACTCATAAGCTTAAAGAAACCCAACAAAACAAACCTAAAGATAACATAACAATATGGTACAATACAATACGGAACTTACAAGCTTAAAGAAACCCAACAAAACAAACCTTAAAAAGCAAGGTACAATCCAATACGGTAATTACAGAAAACAAAATGGAGCACACCCTTTTTACTGGTCTATTAGCACTTGCATTTCTCACACATTTTGGTCATACCATTTGATCTTGAGTCTTCTGCACTTTGAAATTTCAAGACCAAGGGAAGATTGTAAATGCAGTTTGTAGCACTGTAAGTAGAAGCAACAAAGCCGCAGCAAGAAAGGAGATTAAAGCCCACGGAGTGTTGAAATACTTGTGCCTTAAGTATGCCATCCATGAATTCCAAGGTGATTTGTAATGCTTGTTGACGTCCTTAAATAACTGAGCATAAAAGAAAGACTCTCTGGAGAAATTAGTATGATCCCCGAGCCTGTTGAACAATCCCGCAACCAATTCATCATTGCCTAGCATATTATCAATTATCTCACTCTTACAAAGTAACTCAACATCCTTCCCTGAGTTGATTAGGGAATCCATGAGCAAAATATAATCAGTTAAGAATGCATGTTTCGTATTGTCAAACTGTTCACAGGCAATGAGGTTACGATACATACTGTCCGTCTGATCGTCAATAATTACCTTTGGCATTTCTAGTATCCCGTTTTTGAACTTGATATCAAATAAGCTCCTTTTCTCATTCCTTTTGTTCTCAACCTTTTTGAACTTGAAATCAAATAAGCTCCATTTCTCATTCTTTTTCTTCTCAGTCGCTTTGAACTCAATTCCTGCCTCTCTTAGTTCTGTAGCAGAACGTATGAAAGGCCATTCCCCATCCTTTGGCTGCACCTTGTTGTATTCATCCATTGCTGTGTCTGAGGGACACCAATTAACGTGTAATAAGTGCACTATATGCTTGATGTTTTTTATCGAATTGTCATCATAAGTTGTGTCAACCTTGAGCCCTGGCAACCATGTTTCAAATCTTGCAAGGATCCAACGGACTAGTAATCCTTTTGGATCTGTAACACACACCATGTTGAAGAAGTTCCTTTGGAAGTGGAAAATTATATCCAATAACTTGCACAGTACAAAAAAGGGAAGTTGATTCTCAACTAGAGCCAAATCATGCAAAATGCTTGAAGAGATCAGAGACCCGTAGGAGAAAACTTCTGGCAAGTTTCTCATAAAAAACAGAATAATAAAACATCCATCAAGGACCATCATTTCTGCAAATTCTTTGTTGGAAATATCTAAAGGTTCTGTATAACATTTACGAGCTTCTTCCACCATTTTTTCTGTTTCAAATATATATTTTTCAACACTTTGTTCTGACCAGTCAAGAAGCCTATTTAAAGATTGCACCTTTAGTCCTTCCATTTCCTTCAAGTGATCTTTACCATGATGGTATGGACCGATGGAAATGACATAAGGTTCATAGGCTTTTTCATTTACCTTGCGTAGTTGGTGAGGCACTTTGAGGATTTTCTTCTCTGGCATTGTCCATGGCAAAGTTAGCTTCTGCTTTAAGCTTGTGCGGTCGTTTTGTATAGCAATTGATACATGGCAACTTGTTTCAGCTTTAGCTAACTGAGAAACTTCCACCATCTGCTGAAGAAAGAAAGGGATAGATCCATCCTTAATTTCTTAATGGAGTATCCCTTATATTACTAATTAACAAAATTATCTCCTTACCTTTATTTTTTCAAATTATTATGACTTTTTAGTAATTACCAAATGTAATAATATTGTTTTATAATTAAAATTAATTTTTAATTAACGAATATAAAAGTCATTTTAAATGCATTAATTTATTATAAACAGATATTTGACTTTCGTATCAATTAATTTTTTTAGATAAATATAATTAAGCAATTCATCAAATTTTCATTAATTCATTTCATATTTGCATCTATAACTATTACTATTGTATATCTTTCTAATCTCAGTTTGTCTCCTCTCTCTTGAATACCTATATTAGAAAGTTTTAAGTCAAAACATAAAAGATAGAGATCATTAGTATTATTGTCTTGATACTTTTCATTTATTTATACTTCACGTCTCATTAATTTTTCTTATAAGATCATCTCTTAACTTGTTTTTACATATTTTATCATTATATTTATTTATCAACCTATATTTTCCTTTATCTTGTCTCTATGTTAATAATTTGTTTTTGAATTCTTTCTTATCTTGTCCTCCCACTTAATTATTCTTTTTTAGTGACTTCTAGTACTTCTATCTATCATTATGTATTTTTATTTTTATTTTCTCTCTACTTTATCTATATTGAACATGTTTTTAATAAAAAAAAAAATAAGGCTCTTTGGGTATTTATTTGAAATTTTAGAAAGATTTTAAAAGGCTCATTAAATATTTATTTGGAATTTATTGAAGATTTTAATAAACTTTATAATATAGTAAGATTATGTAGAGAATAAATTAATTTAATAAAGAATTATATGCATGATACTCATTAAGAAATTTGAAAAGGTATTTATTTAATTTAATCTGGTTTTAACCCCCTAATAGATTTTTTTAAGAGGTCCATTATGTATTTATTTGAGATTTTAGAGGGTTTTAAAAGACCCATTAGATATTTATTTGATATTTATTTGAAATTTTATAAAAATTTTAAAAGACTCATTAGATATTTATTTAGGATTTATTAAAAATTTTAACTATTTTTATAATATAGTAAGATGATATGAAGAATCAATTCAATAAGAAATTATATTTTTGTATTCATAAAAAATTTGAAAAGGTATTAATTTAATTTAATTGGACTTTAACACCTTAATGGATTTTTGAAAGAGATTTATTGAATATTTTTTAAGATTTTAAAGAAAATTTAAAAAATCTATTGAGTTTTTATCCTATATTATTTGAGATTTATTGAAAATTTTAATAATTTTTATAATATTATAAAAAAGATTAATTAATTTGTTCTGTCCATTAAAAAATTATATAAACAGTTAGAAAATCAGTGTACAAATGACAAAAGATTCATAGGCCTTTCTATTAACCTCAAGTAGTTGGCGAGGCATTCTGAGGATTTTCTGGTCCTTAATTGCTTGTGCGGTCGTTTTGTATAGCAATTGGTACATCACTACTTGCTTCAATTTCAGCTGAGTGAGAACCTTCCGCCATCCCCTGAAGAAAGAAAGATATAGATTTAATCTCAATTAATTTCTTAATGGAATATCCCGTATGCTACTGATTAATAAAATGATCTCTTTGCTGTTCTTAAAAAACTGATCTCTTTGTTGTTCAATTTCAGCTTTGTCGATTAAAAATTTATATAAACAGTTAGAAAATCATTGTAGAAATGACAAAAGGTTCATAGGCCTTTTTATTAACCTCAAGTAGTTGGCGAGGCACTCTGAGGATTTTCTGGTCCTTGCTTGTGCGGTCGTTTTGTATAGCATTTGATACATCACTACTTGCTTCAATTTCAGCTGAGTGAGAACCTTCCGCCATCGCCTGAAGAAAGAAAGATACAGGTTTAACCTCAATTAATTTCTTAATGGAATACCCCGTATACTACTGGTTAATAAAGTGATCTCTTTGCTGTTCTTAAAAAAAAATTAATTAATTTGCTTCGTCGATAGTTAAGAAACTATGCAAACATTTGAGGATTGTATGGTAGAGACAACAATTGAAGTATTTGTTTAAGGAATATTACAGAAGCTTACCTGTTGGAAGTTCGAAACCTGTGCTCAAAATCAGAGAGAATCTATGAAGAGCTCTGCGGCAAACATGCTCGGAGAGACTGGAGTATAATCTCCTATATATAGGGCCAGAGATTGTTATTTTTTTATTTTTTATTTTTCACAAAATAATAATAGATTTATTGATAAAAAAATATTATTCATCAAATAACTATGATAGGTCTCATATTGGTAAAGAAAATTAAAGATTAGTAGAAGACTGCAATCTCTAAATAAACCCACATGGGGCTTTAAAGCTATCCTTACAGTAGATAGTAATATATATAAGAGAAAAGGAAAAATCATGACGTTTTAATATTTTTAATGTCAAGATGTTCAATTATAATCATTAAATATATAAAATATAATATAAACATTAATTTTTAATGTCAAAACCATCTAATTTTTCCCATTTCCTCATAGATAAATAGATAAATTGTCTTTAACTTCTTAATTTAAATAATTTTCCTATAGATAAATAGATAATTTATCCTTAAATTCTTAATTTAAAAATATAAAAAGGATAGTTATTTTAGAATAAAAGGAGTAATAATTGGAAACTTAAATTTCTATGTTAGAAACTAATTTAATTTCATTTTTATCTAGAGTTGTATAATTACAGTGAATAACTTTTTATCCCTTAACCCACCTTAGTAATATGTCATATTTTTCAAACTCAAAATTTTTTATTTTCACAAAAAAATAATTATTATTGAATTAGCTAAATTGTTGGTAACTTTAAATTAAAATTTTGAGATGAGTAGAAAGGGGTTAGAAAATGAAGTATGGTTTTTTTTTATTACAAACTTCAGGCTTTTTTGTTAGACATCAATTTTACTACAACAGTTTTTTTTTAAAACAAATGATTAAGAAAATATTATACAAAGAGGTGGTGATTTTTATAATGAAATTTTGTTAAAGTTTTATTAAGATGGTTAACATTTTCATGTTTAGTAAAAAGTTAATAATGAAAAAGTTGAAAGAAATGATGCCAGGTGTATCCTAGAATGAAAATTGAGAAAAATGTTTTTAATTTTAAAATATATATAAAAAAAGTTTACCTAAGATATTAAAAACTTAAAATATAAACTTTACCATTCATTTATTATGTTGTGAGAGATAAAAATACTAAACTACCCCCAATAGGAAGAGGACTTTCCAAATACCAAACGCTCCCTCTCATGCAAGAATCAGCCATATATTAAAAAATAAAAATAAAAAGTAATGGGAAAATTGCTTAATAATGTGGTCATTAAATTTTTAATTAATTTCTTATTCCTTGAATACTTATTTTTAAGTCTTTAATAGATAAAAGCACTCTAATTAAATCTATCGTAAGTATATTAAAAATTTTTAAAATACCAATAATATCATTTTTGTGTAATAATTAAAATATTAATTATATTAATTATATAATTACTAAAATTTTAAAAAATACAATAAAAACTCTCTCTTGTTTCTCTCACTTCCTTATTCATCACTACCGGTGGGCCTAATTCAATAAATTCCAAATTACTAGATGTTCTAAATATTTTTTTTATTAATTCAAGTAAAAATTTATTTGAAATGATTCAGATTAAGGATTTAAATATTTGGACAACTAAATGAGCCCTCTTAACTTTCTCAATTCCAAAAATAATTCACTTTTGTTTTTTCACAAATTAAGAAACTTTAAATAATTTATTATTTTCTTTATTACCTTTAGTAAAGAAATGAGGATGAATAAAAGCTTTTAGTTAAATAATTCATGTTTTTCCATTTATTTCCCATGTTGATTGTTGTTGTTTTCATTTTTAAAATTACAATAGTTATAATATAAGATTTTAATTATTACACACAAAAAAAGTTACAATGGACATCTTATAAAATCTTGATACATTTATAATAAATTTAAATAAAGTATTTTTGGTTGAGTAAGAAATAAAATTGTTTTTTCATAGAATAAGAATTGAAAGTTTGATGGAGCCACTATTAAGTAATCTTCCCAAAAGCATTTCCCTTAAGCCTCGCAATTTGGTTTAACTTTCAAAACAACTTTTAAGGTGCGTCCGGCGAATTTAAGGTTGAAAATAATTAGAATTGCACTACTAGAATAAAAGTATTGTATCATAAGAAAAAAAAAAAGAGAATAAAAGTATTCTAAGTAGACTCAATTTTATAAATGAGAAAAGTGAAAATTAATTAGGATAACTTTGATGAGAATTTTTGTGAAATTACTTAAATATTTTTAATAATTTTTTGTGTGTTGATTTAATAAAAATATTTTAATTTTTCTTTGAAACTATTCCAAAATTTTTGTTAATAATATTCCTTCCAAACTATTTCAAAATTTCAATGAATCAATCACCATCAAATATTCATCCTTGAGTCCTTTACGCACTTCATATTGAAAAAAAATCTCTTTATCATAATCTTTCAAGGATGCCATTTCTTCCTACGAGAATGTTTTGTTTCTTTTATGGTTGCTTTATTTCTCTCTACAATTGAATTCAGAATTCATTGTGGCTAAATGAGAATTTCCATACTAAAAGTTCATAACAAAAAGTTTGAACCCAATTTATCAAGGGAAATAACCTCTAATTTTGTGACAAGTGTAAAATAGCATATAAACCAAAAAATTTGTTATAACAAATATAAATATTGAAATTAAAAAATAGAAATAAAAAAAACAAAATTTTACCTCAAAATCTTATTTCAAAACTTTACTTCAGCTTGGATTTTTACCTCAATTGATCCATTCCCTCAAATGAGATCTTAGAGACAATTTGTGCTGATTATGTGTGTTTGTCAAATAAAAAGGGAAACAGGTGGAAGAAGCATGAAATAGAGAAATAAAGTGTAATGCTTCAAATCTTATGTTAGGATGTAAGTGTGATTGGTATATATAAATGTGAAAACTAACTATTATTAACAACTTAAACTTGAGCTTTTTAGAGTCTTTGGACGTTGGCCCAATTGTTTCAATAAATATTAGAGCAATTACTTCTCACAAGTGTGGTTCCATGCTAACCATCATATATGACCAATAATGGTTGTGTGAACCTCGTATCACTTGAAATTAATCGTATACTTGTAGCCAAATGAGCTTTATTTTGATTATGATTTGATTTGATGATAAGTTGGAGTGATTGTAATACTCCAAATCCTACATCAGAATGAAATTGTGATTGTGATTCATATATAACTATAAAAACCAACTATTACTTACACCTTGCATGTGCTTTTGAGGGCTCGAAGACTAATAAACAAAAAATTATTAAATTAGTGGTAAATTTTGGCTTAAATTGTTTCATAGAGAGAGAATGAGATCATGAATAGCTCTGATTCTTCTTCTTTCATATCGTTTTCGTATAGCAAGCCATATACGAATAGGCTAAAAGAATGGAAAGAGTTACAAGAAAATGTAAGTTATATTCACTTAATCAGCCATTAAGAGACTAAGTGAGGGGTTACATGGTAGAAATTTATTATCATTATAATTCTACCAAAAAAAGAAACTGATCACCACTAGATAGTGTGTTGATGCAGAAAAAGTGAAACATTCACGAAATAAACTTGTTCAAAATAAATATAAAAACTTATTTCCTACCTTGACTTTTTGAAAACATGATAACCAATTAAAGAAAATAATAACCGCTTATACAGTAGCTAGATCCATGATTTTTTTTCAAGGAAATTGCATTCTCCAAAATATGGTTGCTTATATTGATCTATAACTGGTTATTATCCATATATAATAACCATTTTCATTTCTTTTGCAATCACTTATTTTACGTCTTGATTTTTGTGTTTAAAAGCTTATTTTCTAAAGTTAAGCCGGTTTAAGAAAAAGAGTTGATTTCCTCATGAATGTCTTTCGAAGAAGGGGTAATTAAACACACCCTTCGTGTGGATTATAGTTGGCAAAATCCCAAATCAACCCTTAAAAAATATCAACAGGGACAGACTCACCCCTCACAAAAATGAAGGGATAAATTGCCCCTCCAAATTATAAATCAAGACAAATCACCTCTTTTTAACAAAAAAAACATCATAATTATGTTTACCACGTCAGTTTTTTTTAATAGAAAATGTTAAAAAATGGATAATTTATCTTGATTTATGATTTATAAGGGCAGTTTGTCCTTTCATTTTTGTGAGGGATGGATTCATTCCTACCAATATTTTTTAAGGGTTGATTTGGGAGTTCTGCTATTATAGTTTATGATGTGTTTGGAATTGTAATTGGAGATTTTTTTTATAGTTGTATAATACTTTTAGATAAATATATATGTAATTGATAATTTTTTTGAATTATTTTTTTTTAAATTGTAAAAAGTCATAGCAAATATACAATAATTTTATATATAAAATCAAAAACTTAATTTTTTGAGTTTTTGAGTGTGATTTTTATGGACAATGCTTAATATTTAATAGAATTATAAAATTATTCATTAAAACTCAATCTCGTTTAATTTAATTACACCATAATTTATAATATTTTATTTAAACTTAATATCTCATTTATTTGAAGATTTTATAAAAAAAATTTAAAAACTAATTCCCTTTTTATGAGTTACTATCACACGATACTTAAAACAACATACATCATAAAAAAACCTAAAAAACCTAAATTATAAAGTAGTAAATGTTGCTTATTTTAATAATTATACATCATACAATATTTTTTAAAATTTTAATTAATAATTAATAAAATTTGTTATATGTCATTTATATTTCTTTTAAGGAATAAGTAACTAAATATTAAAATAATTTTTAATTACATTACAATATAACACAATTTAATATAATCATAATTATAGTCACAGTACCTTATAATAATCCTAAATGCATTTTTTATCTATTTAAGTCAACAATTTTGATAAGACTTGATTACCCTTGAGTCTCTGTGAGCCAATTCAGCCTTATTAATGATATGGGTCGTTATAATAAAAGAAAATAGTTCTTTCATATATACTGAACAGTAAGGATCAAGTGATCATAAAGCTGGAAGTGGACCTAGGATATTATTTTCGGAATCAAGCGAGGATAGATTTCGCCATCAAAACCATGTCATGTGAAGACTTGAGGACTAGGAGTAGGGTAGTACCGAAGACAAAGACCTTTTTTAGTTCTTTAGCTTAGCCAGGTTTAGGAACAGTGGTTGGGTTGGGATTGGTAGAAATACGGATCTAGGATCAAGAGAGGATAGTTTCGCCATCAAAACTATGCCATGTCACATCCATACATCATTAACCAAAAAAAAAAAAAAAGGGGTAGTCTTCATATCTAGGTGTGAGCCAAAAAATTTGCAAACAAAAGAAAATTTAAAACCAATGAAACTACAACCAACGAGTTAAGTTTAATTGTATTTTGAGTTTGTTTAACTAAAAATCAAGCTAAATCAATTTTAAACAACTTAAATTTTGGTTACTAAGTTTAAAAATTAAAAAAATTGATGCCTAGAGTGAGTGGATATAACAAAAAAATTTTACCCCTCTAATAAAAAAAGGTAGGGATAAATCCACATCTCAAAAAATATATATATATAAAGATAAATTACTCTTTTAAATTATTAATCAAAACAAATAATCATTTTTTAATTTTATCCTTAAAATTTTAACAAAAAAATATTTTACAATTCAAATAGTTTTGAATTATAAAACATCATTTGATAGAAAAAGAATCCTTAATATTAAAGACCCTCCTCCCCCATTAGAGAATTCATGTTTTATAATATAAAATAATTTAAATTGTAAAACCAAATACGTAAAATTTAATTTATTTCATACCATTTTAATCTATTTTTAAATCATTGTTTCATTTTACCTACTTAAAAATATTTTTTGCCTTTGCTACAAAACAACCTGATTGCTGCACGTAACATGTATTCTTCTATCATTGGTCCATGTTAAAAGTCAAGTTATTTAAATGTAAAATCATTAACACGTGGACCAATTATGTTGCGAGTGTCGAAGAACAGTGCAAAAAAGGACTATTGCTACATTTTTCCTTCATTGTTAATTTAAATTATTTTAAAAATATAAATAAAGTGTTTCTTTGCTGAAACTTTTAAAAATTAAGCGGAAAACATCCATAAATTACTTAAATTTTAGTTAGTATAATTATAATTTTAAATTTTAGCTTTTAAAATTTAAACAATTAAATTAACAACTAAAAACTAAAATTAAAAATTAAAATTATGAATTTATTGAATATAAAATTTTAAAACAAATATGTAAAACTTCAAAATTAATTAATTTATAAAATTTATTAATTTTATTTTAAAGTTTCTAAATTTTTGAAAACCAAAACCAAAACTCAAAATTACAATCATACCAACAGAGTCTTTCTTAATTTCGTTAAACTCCCTTAAAAAAAAACTAAAATAACTTAATTTTAAAATAACAATGAGATTGTTTTGGTCCTTTTTACTTTAATTTTTAGGGGTTTTTCCTTTTAAGTTTTTAAAATTTCAAACAATAATCACTAATTTCTCTAAATATATTACTTTATTTTTTGTAAATTTACAATTGTAAAGCATGTACAGTTTTATTAAATAGTTACCAGACATTAATAGTTTTTATACGAGAATACAATATAATATAAAAATGTTTGTCAATTAAAATTTTAAAAAATTAAAAAAAATATTTATAAAATTACATAATTTTAGTAAAGTAATACTGAAAAAAAAAAAACAAAGGGATTAATATTAATTAGATGCCTTCTTCTGACTATTTATGACCACATGACTTGAAACATTAATTGGCTAATCAAAAGTTACCCAATGATCAATCAAAATGCCGAGAAAAAAAAAAAGAAAAAGAAAGAAAGGAAAATAGTGAAGAAATTGGAGCCACTGGATCAATGGCATCTCTTAATCATGGCTAATTGCTTCCGTTGGGAAATTAGTGGGGAATCATTTGGAATGTGAATGTGACACGGCAGAATAAAATCCATGTTCAAGTTGCGTTGTTTGTGTACCGACAATGTTCGTTGATTTTAGGCAAATCATATTCCCAATTCTCAAGAACTTTCATGAAAGGAGCAGTCAAGCTCTTGAGTTATTGTTGTTGCCCTTTTTCATTTTTTTTCACTTTTTTTTTTTTAAAGGATAAACCCAATTTTAATGTTCTTACAATAAACTCAGATTTAGTTCTCAACTTTCTGTTATGTTTCATCTCAGTCCTCCGCTTTGTAAAGTTATATCAATTATGCATGCATGTCTTTCATATGAGAATGGTGTTTTGCAGTACGGACTGCACATTTTGTGTGCATCTCGATATTGAAATTATTAAAACACTATTAATAAATAAATATGGAGGGTTTCATTAGGTGTATTTTGATAATTTCAATACTTGACTACATAAAAAAAGTGCAATTCATACTAGAAAATTCTTTTTTATTTTTTGGTTTTGTATATAAGATTCATATAATAAAATTCGAATCATATATTAAAAGTGCAGTTCACTCTATAAATTTATTAAAATATCTTTAATAAAATAAAAAATAATAATTTCTAAAATTATATGCACCA